CAGAAGGAGGCGTGTAACCTCTGAGCTGCTGGAAGAGCCTTCAAAGTGAGAGCACTGAGGAAGGTCATAACAAGGTTAGGGCAGAACCATGGTTTATCGTTTATGAAAGGATTTTTCTGACACGGTCGCCCGGCACAGTCAGGTTTCCTTGGAATACTGCGTTTGGCCGGCGCAATGTGCTGTGCGTGCGGCTTGGCTGCAGTTCACAATAATTGTCCCTTTATCAGAGAGAAACCCAGACCCTGCAAGAATCCCGTTTTGTGGGGATTTAGGTCTGTGTCTAGGAAAACGGTACAATTGCGTAGAAAATTATATACAACCAAAGTATTGTAAGGGGAAAAAATGTTAAGAGGAAATACTCCAGGGCAGATCTCTTGGAGCTGCAGGGCTGTGATTTAGCAATTCCCCAGTTACTTAGGTGATACTCACTTGTGTAGAAGGTGTGGTTGAGTCTGTTTGCCTGCAGGTAGCTGGAAGCTTTCTGCCTCAGCACCGAAACGACTTTTCCATTTTCGTAAGTGAAAAGAAGAACAGTAAATGAAAATAAAGGATATTAATGGAGTAACTTCTCTCGTAACGTATTATCATGAAACTCATTCTTAAAGAATGTTTTGATCAAAAAGAAAATTAGAAAGCCCACCTGGCATTCACTGTGATCAAGTACAGGGACCAACATGTCGTTCAGTCAAAGGAGACCTCGAACATCGCAGGTGAGAGTTTTTGTACTTTTCCATAAAGATTTTTTAGATTTCACAAAGAAAAATAAAAAATATTAAAATAAGTGACACTGCACCATTGCTAGGAGACCTGGGAGGAAAAAACCATGTTTTTAACATAGTATATGTAGAAAGCATTCTTTTCTAGTTTGTATTTAGTAACTTAGCAATTGCAGAAATATTTAGTATAGCTTATTTGCATGGCGTCTAGTTATAGGGAAGTGTATCGTCCTTGTCAATACCATCTGATTTTCACTAAAACATCCAGACCTAGACATTAACAGCCCCACAACTACCACAGGTTTGAATGCAATCTAAGTGAACCTTGCTCAGAGCAGGCTTAGTTATTCTTTTTGCACACGTTGCCAGGAGCATTTCTGTGTTTCCAAGGTGGCTAATATTATTAACAACTGTCAGAAATATTTTGATTTTTTTTTCTTGCTGGCAAGGTGGAGTTGTGGTGCTGTTTGGATCAAGCTTGCAGGGCTTTGCACTTTTTACGAGATGAACAAAGGTAGGATTTCAGCTGAAGTATTCTTGTAACCATGACATGCTCCAGAGTATCAACTGGTTTTGGTAAGCTCTGTCCATTGCTGTCACAGTGACATACAGCGGTACCACAGGCTCTATTTTCTCTCATTTCCATTGTTGAGCTTGTTCTAATGTGACTTATTTTGATGCTGTCCGCTAGCATTCAATCACAAGTTGCTCTACCCATCGCTGTTCTCACTGTCTAGTCATCATTGTCAGATAGAGCCTCACTCTTCTAGTCCATGTGCTAACGTCAAAGAAACCATTCCTGCCTCCAGAAATTGAAAGTCCACCTAAGCGAAACAATGCATGTAGGAAGAGGGTTATAATATATCTACAGTTGTGGTCATCTATTCTTTATTTAGTTGGTGGAGCTCCATGTTTTTTATGTCCCAGAAGAAGTGTGGAACTTCAAGCTGAATACAGTTCCTGTGGCTCTTACTAGCAAATTCATCTCAGCCGGATTTATAAGGTGAGTATAGTCTTAGGCTTCATGTACATGGTAGGTCCTTTACATTGTCCTTCAGTCGTTTAGTCCAGCTGTTGCTCTACAGAGCACAATTACATCTGTCAGAAGAGGCTTGTTCTCTAATAATTTCTGGAGGATAAGTGGTGCCCATGACTAGTGTTATGTTTATTTGAACTGTATCAGGCTTAGCTCTATTGCAGCCCTTGGTGTAGAGCATTGAAACGCACTTCCAGAGCAGCGCTAGTATTTCTGCAGAATAATTTATGTTGTAAATTCACAGTCTTATATTCTTTCTGTCTTCTTGAGCCTGATTATCAAAATCTTGAATTCTTTTTGGCAACGGGCCAGCTTCGAGACAGAGTGGCATGATGAAGATGGGATAGTCTGTCAATTCCCAGGAACAGGGATATGACGATCTGAGCTCTCTCAGTCCGAAGAAAGAGCTTAAGCCGTGTTTCTCAAGGGGAAGCATTACAGCCCATGCAACCACCAGCATATTTTCTTTCTTCTTCAGTAGTACTTCTGAAAGGTTGCTTGACAATCCTAGTACTGTCTGAGTCAGCTTAACAAGGTATTCCAAGGTCTAAGTACAGGCCACTTCCATTAATCATGAAATTAGAGGAAAATATTAAGTGTGTAATTGTCTACGGCCCTGAGTTCTTGTTCCCATGAACTTGATTTCTCAGCCTCTGTGATCTTTTATTTATTCCTCATTCCTCACCACAGAAACCATACTTTTGTTATTTCTAGAAGAGATGGCTGCAATGAACTCTAGTTTGCATTACTTTTAAAGGAACACCCTGAAGCAAATTACTCAGATGTGACTAGTCTTCTGCTAGCCAGTGGCAGCAAGTAAGGAATATATTACTATATGTTCCTAGCAGCTGCACTAGCAAATAATTTTCAGATAAATTTCTGCCCTATATCTCAGGTTCTGTATACCTAGATCATTTTCTCCCATGATACCTTGTAGTTACTTAGATGTTTTCCCTGCTGTTCGTAAATGCCTTAGATTTAGATTTCCTTGCTGGTTTGGACAGGCATTATCAGTGAAGGATGTGCAGTGTTAGAATTGCTTGCATTTATTGGGTTTCAGAAGACCATTCAAGGGGCATACCTCCTCTGAGACATCAGCTTGAAGAAATGATAGTGAATGAGAGATATTTGAATTATAGATCATCTCTGTTCTCACGTAAGACCTTGGAAGGATGTGTATTGAATTATGTATCCATCTTTCACATATTTCTTTACACATTTGAAATAAATGACATTAGGGCTAACGTCTGCAGCAAGCGTGGGCCAAAAATGGCTGGGGAAGAAATAAACAGGAGCTAAATGCGCAGGGACCAAGCAGTGTGGCCTAGATGTGTCCACTCTGCAGACTTTGGTCTCCTCCGCTGCGTGCCTGTGCTCCAAGGCAGGTTTATGACCTTGAAGAGGGTCCTCTAAGTCCAGGGTGTTTGAAATAATGCAAGGGAAGCATTGTAGCCTGCTGAAGTGCTGTGCTTATGAGATGAAACTGAGGGTGGTTTTACATACCTAGGGTGTGAAATGAAGGCATATAGGGCTGTTTGAAAGTGCAAACAAACCCTGACAGGTTAATGCTGAAGACCTGTCCAAGTTGAAGGGGTGGCACGTTCTTGTCTATACTGTTTACTGAGAATGGCATGTGCTATCCCCCAAGCTATGTCTGTGCTTGAAGAGTGATAGCTGCCTGGGCCAAAATCATGCTAGGTAGTATACTAACACTTAATCAGCATGGGTGATTAACAGTCTCAGGCCTGAATTTGTTCCCTGGTTTATTTTATATGGCAGCATAGGAGCAATTAGAATTGCTAATGTTGTGCTGCAGAGCTTTTGTGTGCCTCTTGCACATTTGGTTTTATTCTGCGGAGATGCTTTTTATTCTATAGTGATTTTTATACTGAGCTCATTACTTTAATATTTGCATGGTTTCCAGTAGTACATTAAATGACGCAATTCATATTTGCGTCAGCTCTCTCATCTTCAAACTATGGTGGAAATATTCACACTGCAGTGTTTGGTTTTGATTTAAAATACATTTGCATGTACATATGCACACGCCCAACTGTAAATTTGTGTTGGAGAAGACAAAATCAAAGGAATATGCCTGCTACTTAAAGTGGGCAGTGATGAAGTCTCCTCTAGCCCTTGGTGCTTGAAGGGGTATGTTCTACAGTCCTGGACCAGCCCCACGAAACTTTGTCATCTATATGGAAATGCATGACTGTAGTTTCCAATGCTTTTGTTATTCATCTGCAAATGAGCAAGAGCATTCTGAAGGAGTCACTTTCAAATTTCAGTTACTTCCATATTCTCCCTTTGTATGGGTTCCTAAAATATGAATATTGCCAGTTAATGTTATGACAGCCCTTGTAATACAGTCTACCATAATGTGATACAATGTTCTGACTCTACCACACCAAGAGTCTCTGGCCTGTATGTAATTAGATTCTGTTCTAGGACATAGTTCCCATTTTTGGTCATTCTGTCCATGCAAGCCAGCGTGTATATAGCAGTATCTTCCCCCTCTTACTAACTAGACATCATTATTTGATCTTACAGATGTATTAATGAATAACAACATTCTAGGGTGCCTCCTCACATCACATTAAGAGCGCTACGGGAGAAGCTTGGAGAGTACCTGGGTGGAGCTGCAGTTGCAGATAAATTCACATTTTTAAAATGCATTGGGAAAAAACTAGCAGTGGTAAGTTAATTTTTTTTTTCTTTAGTACTCTTCTGCTTTATCATGTAAACCACAGATTTTGTTCCTGCAGATTAGATAATATCACAAGAAAATTGAGATAACTTTAGAAGCACTGTTAGCATTTGTTTTTAGACGTGCTGGAGCATAAGCTCTTGTCAGAGCACATCTACTTCCCCAAATACAAAGGCACAGCTGGATAGGTATATTAGAAACATCCTTTAAAGCATCAGATATAAGTAGTTGCCATCCAGTGAAGAGATGCTAGTTTTGATAAGTCAAATGGATTAAATATGACAAATCTGGTTGCATTAAAAAAAAAATCCCCCTAAGGTCATTATTACCAATACATGGTTGTGAATATAGCACTTGGAAGAATTTGCAACGGAAGCTGAGTAAGTCAGAGTTCCTCTAATGGTTCCTGCTGCGACCTGCCCAAAAGCCTTTAACGATCAGTCTCTGAATGAAAACTTCTGTGGTTGTACATTTGTGTTCCAATAATTAGTCCAGTAATACAGCCTGAGATTTATGTAATCAAAAACCTACGTGTCTGAATCATAACTGCTCCTCACATTGATTCTCTATATATTTATATCTTACAAACTATAGCTAAAGATTAAAACACTTAAAACTGAAAGTTGTTCGTGTAATACACAAAGACTTAAGTGATGTACATAGAATACTTTTTTTCACTTCTCATTTCACCTCTGTTTCTCACGGATTTGGAAATTAATTGCAAGCTGGAAATTTGGTGCTGTTCTTTATTGCATTTGTAGTTGAGTTATCACTGAAATTACCCACACGGAAGAGTAGAATAAATACTAAGTAATGTGCAAAAACTAGGTGGAAAAATCTGAAGAGAAACTTAAAGACGGTGACACAATCTGAATTTGAAAATATGCATATGTCTTCAAAGAATGGAGGTGGTTTTAACTGCATGATAATAAGTAAGATGGCATATTTTCTTCCCCACTGATAGTTCTGAGAGAAATGGAGAAATTTTCCAGCTTCCTTTAGAATGTCAGGAATTTAATAAAGTATTTAATAGAGAATTAAAGATATTTGTAGATAAAAGTGAAGATTTTTAGCGACAAATTAAAGATATAATTTTAATTTGGGGTATTTACTCTTGCTTGTTGTTTAACTTTATAACAAAGTGTAAAGCAATAAACCATCTAACTGGTTTATTTGTTGTTTAGGGTCATGGTAACCTCATTGAATTACATCTCCATGATCAAATATTTGTTGAGTGGGGTTTTTTTTCCCTCCAGCCTTCTGTTTCACAACAGTAACAACGTAAGCAGTACTAAGAGCTGTACCTTACTAGCACGTAAGGATCTTTAAATGAAAAATAAACATAAACCAAACCCGTGTTCATTTGCTCTTCCTTTTCTTTCATACAGCCTGTGTCTCTTAACAGTGAATCGATGGCATTGCCTGGCCACTATTGAGAACAGAATTTGGCCCCATGTTTAGTTCAATTTCATTATTTAAATGTAAGCTCAGATTTCTTTTTTTTTCCTGTTGGAGCACATCTTTCAAATATACATCGATTATCTTAGACTTTGTTTTTAGGACGACCGTTGAAATCTGAAGGTGTATATCACACAAAGAATATCAAAACAATAAATACGAGAAGACATAAGAGAGTGATAGGGGTTTTTTTATCTATACATTAAATATTTTGCAGTAGTGTATCAGGTAAATAGAGAAAATTATGTGAGACAGCATTTCTGTTCAGATTCAGCTTGAAGCAACTTCTGGTAAAGACAGTCTAAGACTTTCTTCTGCTGTGACTGTTGGCTCAGGTCCTTTGAACCATAAGAGAAAGTGTAAAGGATAAAGAAATTTATTCAGTACATCCATGTACTCTTGTGGGTCTGATTTAGATAGTGAAAAATAGACAAAGTTTCAGTGCCGTGTCAGAAAATAGTCATATTCTATGTTCCTTCTTCCCCATCAGGCCATTACAGAAGATAGTGCTGGTTAAGAAAAATGTAAAGATGATGATAGAATACAGAAATTAAGTCATATGCAACATTATTGGTAAAAAAGTATTTTATTGGTTACGCTGCCATTCTTTATCTTCCAAGGTGAAAGCAAAGCAAGAAACAGAACTGGAACTGAAGTCATTTGCTCCCCCTTATGTATGTATTGTATGGCTTTTAAGCTATCATTTTCAGAAACTTTTTACATTGCACATTTCCTCTTTTGTGTCTGATTAATATACTGCATATTTTAGGCACTTTATCCTGAATTATATGTATTACCTGGAGTGGAATACTTTGAAGATGTTTATCCATTGTCGTCATCAACTCAACAGAAACATCACTTCAATGCAGAAACTAATGGATCAAGATTATCCAGTCTTCCCCAAAAAAACCCTGAAAAAAGCAAACGATTTTTAGAAAGCACGCAAAGCAGTCATCAGCTAGAAAGTCAGGAAGTGCACAGTTCTGTCAAATGGGGTGAGGAAGAACCTGTTCCAGCTTTGCACACAAAACATGAGCAAGACCATAACAACAGGATTCAAGAAAAACAGATACAGTTTAGAGAAGAAGGTAAGTTTCACCAGTGTCGTGAAGGAGGATGATGAAGGAGGAGAAGAATAACTATTACGGTAAACATTTATACTAAAATAATATTTCTCTTTTCCAATATCAATTATTATGCAGATCAAAATGGATCCAGAGCATCTCTCTTTGCACCAAGTAATTCAAATCCTGCAGATTCGGAGTCTGGAGAGAGTGATATGCTATTACAGGCCTCTCAGCAAAATCATCTCGGCCAGAATCAAAAAGAGCATAATACTCCCAAGTGGAATGACAAAGCCAAAGGAACTGCTCTTACTCTTCCTGTAAACCACAGTGATGAACAAGGCCAGAATAACCAAACACCCCAAAATCCCATTAAATATCGAAAGGGTACTACTGTTCATTGTCACCTTTTTGCTAAAGCATGCCTTTTAGAAAGTTGGCAGAGTAAAGCTGAGTTTTAAGAAATCTACAGTTACAGCATGAGTTGGAATATTGCTATCAGAACAATAGTCTAATTTTAATAACAATAATAATAATAACTTTGAAAGAGCTGTAGTTTTTACTTTGGATGAGTCCTTCTTTATCACAATGTACTGATACAGGGAAACACTTCACTATAGTTGATGCATTTGTCTAATCTTATTTACATGAAAATAAATTACTAAGCAGCTACTGTAAAGATTGGAGGATAATGATCCCATAATTCAACAGCAATTTTAAATGAAAAAATCTTGTTAGGAGTACATCAGGGAAAGCTTGTAGTCACTTAAACTTTCATTGTCATCTTATCCATGGCTACATTACTACTGAAGAGGAAGTGTTTCCTCCCCTCCCTGCTATATAATGTTTATTTATATGCTATTGAACAGTGGCATTCCTAAAACTGAGAGGTGGGAGAACTCTTTGAGCAGACTAGAGTGAAAATAGTACAAAAGCATGGAGGGGATTAAAGCATACATAAACTAGATAACAGTTCTGTGCCAAAATAGAAAATGTTGTTTGGAAGAGACCTATTAACTACTACTACTTTAAAATGGGGTGTCTTATGGATACTGGGGGTCATTAAATCTCTGAACAGTTTTCTAATGTTCTTAATATTCCTAAATTTTTAGTAATTACCAAGAAAGGATTGATGCATTTAAATTGGATTTGAGTGACCGCTTCTATATTACCATCAAAATTATAACAAACTGGTTTTGAGGAAATACTTTTGAAAGTCAAGCAGAATTTTACAGTTAATGTAAAAAGGGTGACCTTTATTCTATTTCAAATTTTTAATGAATAATTATTAAATGAGGCGATATTAATTTTTCATAGGTACGGGCACCTTATAGATCTCAGTTAGAATGATTTTCTGGATATCCGGTACTTTGAATGAGAAAACAAAAATTTGGATGTTGTCATCTTTGAGACGTGTCTGGAGAGTGTATTAGAAAAGGCTTTCATGGATGACTTTTCAGTAATTTCAGTTTCCAATCATAATGGGTCAAAAATAGCTTTGTCCCTCCATCATCGTGGTAACTGATATTAAGTGTGAGACCGCTTAATGTACAAATATGTATATCTACATATATATGTGCATATATGTATATACATGACTGAAAAGTTTTCCAAAACTTTATTTTACATGATGAAGGATGTAGGATTTTGTAGCATAAAGTAAAGGTAATGTCTGTCAGCAATTTTATCTTGAAATATTTATTGTATATATTTTAAAGCAGATAACATTTATTAATTAACATTTAAATGCAAAACATTTTGCTGTCCCTTTCTTTGCTGGCTCCAGTTCGTAAGGGATCTTCAGTCTCTGAAAGGCAGAAAAGAGTTAGATACAGCATTAGTTTAGGGAAGGTGAAATAATTACGTGGTTTATCTGTGATAAGCTTTCCTGTATTAGTTACCAGAATTAGTTAGATACAAATTCTCAAAACAAAAATACCTTTTTTACCTTTATTTCTTTCCTCTGTTATTCACACAACATTTCCATACCCCAGAGATAAGGTTATTTATTGGATTGATTCACTGAATTTCTGAAACAGGTTGGAAAGTCCAGGTATTGACAGTCAAAAGAGCTTGAATTTTGTGAGTATAATCTATATGTTTTGATCATCATTATCCTATCACAGAACTAAGCACCAAACTGCTCATTACAAACATGGAAAATAATGACCATCAAAAAGATACCAAACTAAGAAGAGACAGAACACAGGATTCTGGAATTCCTAAAACAGTGAAAGGCCAAACCACAGAACATGTACACAAAACCCAAAGGTTAGTAAACGATGATTCTGATAAAGTAATGGATAATGTTAATTCGTAACTAGAAATTTATTTCACAGACTTCAAATAAATGAAAGAAAATGGTGAAAAAACCATTTTGCTACATGAATTTTCACTTGCTTCTTTGATTTTTATCTGTAGCTTGCAGCAATACAGAACTAGCAAGTCTATAGCTGATCCTGGTGAAAAACTGGATAGTCAGGTGTGTTTTTCAAGGTAACATATTCTTAGTAATCTGGAGCAGTAAGCATAGTCCTCCACCGATAAATAGTCTAATTTTATAAGACAGATAACTCATTAGAAATATGAAATATTCAAATATAGGTTTGAGAGTAATTAAGAAAAGTTAATTCATGCACTGGTACTTTGCAGGTTTGCTAGTGAAAAATCAACTATTTCTAAACAGTGAAATCATCAGAAGTTATACCTCTGTTATCATTTACCAGGAACTACATATACAATAAGTATCTCAGTCTAATTAATGTTAGCTGCATTTTTTTACAGTTTCTTGACAGTAACATTGTATTGGTTTTGTCGGTGACATTTTTATAATTTCATATTTCCTGTGGGATAAATCTGTCTTCTCTCGAGCAAAACTTCTGGTAAGAAAAACTACAAAATTCTTTAAAACATATGTATGATGTAGTCATAACATCAGAATAAGAACATACTTAGGAAGACACAGGACTCACATGCAATCATACAGCATAACAGCTGTCACTATTAACTGTCATCTCTGAGCTCTTGTGCAGGAGTGATTGCAGCGGAGTCTTACGAAAACACTAATGAAATTGAAAATCTGCAATTATAAATTTTGGTTTAGAAACGGGCAGTCCAGACTTCATAAGCAATGAGCCACATGGCAGTTTTAAGGTCCGTTATTCCTGGTCTTGCACGGGAGAGTCAATAACTCGCGGGGTTATGGACATGGACAAGAACAATTAGCAATAGTCTACATTTTTGTCCATATGCTCCCTGCGATGTAAGTGTTCAGTGTTCTGATTTTATTTGCAGAGGTCCAGCTGTTTGTAATTTAGTTATCATTTGTACTGGTAACAGAATAGAAAAGCTTATATGCAGAATTCAAATTCAGCCCTCCTTTCATTCAGGCCACTTTCAGGGCATATGTTTAACGTAACTATTCAGGATTATGAGTTATGTACTTAGAGTTGTGTCTTTTGACTCTCTAGGCAGATCAAAACAAGCGAAATCATCTTACTTGTCCAAAAGAATATATTTCGCCTCCTAGTCCGCCTTTTCTGGCACTTTCTGTAAATCCAGCTCAAGTTCCCGCAATTCAGGCAGAAAGTGAGTATATGATTCCAAGAAATTGCAGAGGAGCGAACATTTAATCAAGACTGAATAGTTAATGAAGACAGAAATACCTACTCTATGAAAGAATTTGTACATACATTCATTCGCAGTATTGTTACAAATTTTAATTTGTGGGTGGAAAATTCCAGGCATTTATAATTGCGTGGGCTGTTCATAGAGCATGGCAGGTTCCCAGTGTTAGAAAACCCAGCTTGTGGACTTGGGGATGGAAGGAGAAAAGGAGGGAGATCGGATGAAATACTGCTGGCTCACGTGCGAAGGTAGCAAAGAAAACCACCGGTAGTATTGCTGAGGATCCTCCGTTGTGGTGGAGGAGGAGGATAGTGAGAAGGTAAGTGATTGACCTGTTGTTGCAAACCAGTGAAAGTTTGAGACACTGTCCTGCCTATGACCAACTGGAGTTCAAGGCAAGATTTCGCTAAAGTTTATATTGCAAAGTATTTTGAGCAGGAAATAGTCTTTTGGAGGCTTTTTTGGCTTTATGTGGCAGGAGTTTTCAATGTATGCAGTGTATATATATCTTGAATATATGGTTTTGGTGATACCTTGTCTAGACATATAAAAGGGTGTTTACTTGTTTGTGTGTGTGTATGAATGCCTGGACACATGCTGGATTTCTCACTTTTTTCTAATGCACCAGCCATTTCCAAAAGTTAGAGCTAGTTTATTAAAATAAAATAATTTCTACTGCCTGTTCTGACAGAGCTTTTGGCACGATTTATGATGGGTGCATTACAAAAATCTTGATTGATCCTTTCTACTTACAGTATCCAGATGCTTGCTAAATATAATTATAATATCTTTAGAAAAGAAGATGGTAGAACGATTGCAACGAATGAAGAAAGACAGAATGCACATGGAAAAAATTAGAGAAGAACTGATCAAAAAAGCTAAAGGGCTCCTGGAACAAAATAAGCTGAGGAGATACCACGGTACACTTCTAATTTACTTTGGAATTTGGAATGATTGAGACATGACACTGAAAGCAATATGAAAATGTTTGTTTCCTTGTCAGTAAGCTTAATTATGGAGAGAGCAGTTTGCTAACCCATAGCTCTGAGAAGGCTCGTTTGTGTAACAGCATGCTGGAAAGATTCAAGGTTGCAATGTTTCCTTCCACTTTTTTTGTGGCAGTATTATAAATCTAAAAATATCCTGGCTTTTATAAACCATTCAAGTTGTGTCCCATGTACATACAGTGCCCAGAGAGCTACTGCAGGCCGCTTCGCTGTTTGAGGCCCAGGGCAGCCGACGTATTCTAAACCTGCCTTTAGCTGGTGCTTACAGAGGTTTTTTACTGTGTTGATAGGGCTTCTAGTTAAATTGCCAGCGTAATACTTTTTGTTCCTCCTATCTAATGGTACTCAGCTTATGGCATGGAAGTTACAAGCCTGTTGTGACAAGCTTGACAAACCTTGTTTTTTGACAAGGTAAAATCTCATTGAAATCCCACCCAAATTTTCTTTGTAAAATTGTTTTCAAGTTTATACTTAAACTATCCTCCCTAAGTCACATTCCAGTTATACAGAGATGAGGTTTAATCACTTTGATGTTTTGAGAGCATTCTCTTTGTACTTAAATACAGCTAAATCACTAGGAGTCTCAACTATTATTTGTAGCTTTGTTGAAAGGAGAAGACAAGCCAATTCTTCCAGTTATTCTCTAAGGGCATGGCTACGCTGCACTCTGCAGCATGGTGAAGTTGTATTTAAAAAAAAAAACAAACTGGGGTGCTTGAAGCAGTGAAGCTGTAGTAGCATGGAGCCACAAAGCAAGCTAATTCACCCTGCTGAGATAAGCCCTCAATGGCTCCTGCATTGTCCTAAATTATGTTATCCAGTTAGGTAAAATAAAGGTTTTTTCACAAGAATTCAAACAGCTTCTGCAGGTTCTTTAAGAAGCGTCTCTACCTCTGAATTATTTTTCAGACCTGTGGAGTTTCATAAGTAAGTGCATTTGCAAACATGTTTCTTCACAAGGTATGAAGGGAAGAGCGTATTCTGTAGGAACGGGGATCCAGTCTGTATTTAATATCCTCCTAAGGTTGCCATGCTGACAGTCGCTCTCAGTTACATAGCATGTAGTCCTCCAACAGCTGGGTTCTTTTTGGTAAGTTTCTGAGAAGCAGTTGTGCTGATTTCCTAAAACATGCCTTGAAAGAAGGAATTATTTAAGACACTTTGCAGACTAGTGGATGTATGTGGCCATAAAACTGCCACACCAGGTACGGGGGGATTTATGTGCCAGCTGTTGATAGCACATTGACAACATAGGAGAAATCATAGTTAAGTGTAAAGGTAAATAACTGTTCCCCGTAATCTTGGGACTTCTGTATAAAACTAAGCTGTTCAAAATCTCTGGCCCTGCAGACCTCAAGTTTTGCGTAAATCTACAGTGCTAAATATTCTGCTACAGTAAAGCTGTGGACTTCAGACTGTGGTGGGCATACCAGTCTTCACAGGTCTGGAGCACTGACTGTGCAGCTGAAACCTGCAGAACAGCCAGGCTGAATGACATTTTGGTTTCAGAGCTTGTGTTATATCTTGGTGGACAGATAGAGCAGGTGATTGTGTGAAAATTCCATTGCATTTATAGCGAATGTCATTTTAATGAAGATTTTTTCACCAATTGCTTTTTTTAAAGAAACCTACTGCCATGTTTTAATGTGTGCATTGGCCAACTGAATCTTTTGAGGTCAGTTGGTCATTACTGTCTTCAATAGACCCTATGATAAAGTGAACAAGACCAAACAGTATTACTGTTTTCCTGTGTAGTTCGTGAGGAATGGAAAAAGAAGTACTTTGAAACTAAGAAAGCTACGGTTTCACTGGAGGACGCTTTAAACAAACTGCGACAAGATTTAGAGCTTTACCACCAGAAATTACTCTTGCAATTGGAAGCCAGAGATAGCCGAAAACGACCAAACAATATGACAACCTCCAAGGTATTTGCTTGTATTATTTAATCTCTCTTTTTACACAGCCTGTTTTTTTGTATAAAATATGAATTAAAGTAACAAATAAATCACCAACCAATGACTTGTAAACTAGTTTTAACAGCCAAATATCCCTCAGTGATCTGAGGTATAGAATTCCTTCAGTGTTTGAGTCTGAGCATTTGATTCTTTCTGCTTTGTTGTTTGTACAATACCTTCTCGTAACAAAATCCCCTTTTGTTCAGTATGATTAATGAATTGTTCAGTTCTCTATTGTTCTCATCATCCCGAATTTCATGTACGGAGATAATGAATTCTAGTTTGGAGGACAAGAAATGTCTCTGAGGCTTTTGGAGTGGTTGCACCTGAACTATTGTGCAACTGTGAGTCTCATGTTATGTTGTTGGTGTCAAATCACGGGAAGTTCAGAGGAATTAAAAAAAGACAAGACAAAAGAAAACAGGGAAACACCCTTCCCAATAGTTGTATCTGCTGATTTTCTAAATGCGTTAATGGAAGCAAGTCTGTTGGCAAATCTAAAGCTAAACTAGGAAAAATAAATGCCCCTTTCTTGTATCTGAAAGGTGGGAGAGTGTATGTACAATCTAAGAGTGTATATTATATACAAAGGTGTATTCTTTGAGCTATCTTAATATAAATATCTACAGTATAAAAATATTAATAGGGTTGATATCGCGTTATATTACTAGCTATGTTCAGAAATGTTATTGCTCCTTTGGGGGGGGATATCAGGGGTTTTTTAGGTCTCTCTGGCTAGGCACAAAGAGGCCTTATGTGAAGGATGTGCACATCTTAACATGCATACAGCAGTTATTTATCGGCTAGCACACAAAGATAGCTAGGATTTAATGAGCTATTAGGCTAAGCACAAATATGCTCTCCACCCCTCGTAAGCTACACACTGGCCAGGCGGACATCAGTCAGGCGGGAAGAGTCGGGCTCTGGGGAACAGATCCCGCTGTCGCTGGTTTCCCCTCTTCCACCAGCTTTGTCCTCACTGGTGACTCAACCCAATGATACGGTGATTCCTCAGTAGCTCCCAACTAGTCTGATGGCCCTGCCTGTTTTTTCCCTGCACGACTGTGTACCTTTTGCGCTTTCTCAGTGGTCTGAGCCAGGGTTACACAGCTGTGCGGTGTCGCAGCTGGGACTTGGACCCTTGTATGCAGACAGCTACACCCCCGGGTGGGGAGAAGCTTACAGCAGGAGCTCAGAGATGAGAGGCTACAGATACCACTTAATGACTCCTTGTATAGGCAACTTTAGCGCATCATTTGCTTCAGCTGGCAGTTTAATGCCATTTTTAAAGGCTCGGAACATCAAGAGATTACCACATACACATCCACCCCTCAGCGTTACTTACTTCAAGGGACCATGGCCGACTTACATGAGCTGAGTATCAGAACCTACATTTTGAAAACAAGAATTTTAGTTTTACAGGTTAATTCAAAGATAGGCCCACCCACAGCTACTGCTGAAATGATGTGCTGTATAACCAGGAGTTTATCTGCGCTAAACATTACATGAGTGCAGCAATCTCATCAATAAATGTACTGTGACTGACAGTGATGCTAAGCCTGTGAGAAAAAAAATATGCTTTCAAGTATACCTTTTTATTATAAATGGAGAGTAGCCATAAAAGATAATTGCAAAACAACGTGCTGTTACTCAGGAGATCTGATCTGGATCTTAACTTCCCAAAGCAACAGGGAGTGGAAGAACCTCCGCACCCAGCTGAAGGGCTGGCAGCAGAAGGGAGCTGCCCTCTCTTGGAGAGCAGACTGCTTACAGACCAGAGGCAGCCCAGCACACATTAAGGGCGAGAAGCAAGCAGGGGAGTCAGAAAGAGTTTAGAGGATTGTTTCTGAGTGGTGAAGTAACACACAGTGAATGAAGAGATGCACTAATGCTGCACTTGTTGCTGGTTTTGTTGTTGTTTCATATAGAATTACACAATCATCCGGATTACTACAGTGCAGCATGAACTCGATCAACTGAGGAGGAGGCTGGATGATACAAAAATGAAACTCATAATAGAAATTAAGGTACTCTGCCTTTTAATTAAAACAGTTGAAATGTTGCTATGTATAAAACAACTTAGATCTTCCCGAACATTAGATGATGTAAAGATTTGCTAAACAGTTCTTGTTTTATGCTGTTAGTTTTATGGTGCTAGTTGTCATTGTAACTTTATCACTTGAGCCTAACTACTCCAGAACACCAGGTTATTAGACAATTTTGAATGTATGGCATTCAAAACATTTTTTCAAGGTACAATGTAAGCTAAGCTTTACAGTCGCTCTCATAAAATTCTCATTTCACTCAAAAGGTGATTGAAGGAACATACTTGGTGAGGCACTGATCAGTAGTAGACCATGGCTAAGAAAAAAAAAACCTGGTATAAAGAGGAAAAAGAGAAAATATTTTGGTAGGCACTGATCAGTATTAGACCATGGCTAAAAAAAAAAAAACCGGGATAAAGAGGAAAAAAAAAAAAAAAAAAAGAGAATGGCTCTCCAAGCAGATGGCAGTCCTCTTCATCTGCTTTATTCCATACCGGTGCTGTCTATGGCTCCCATTGGAAGGAAGCTGATGGTATAGGCCTTCGCATTGGATAGCTTTTCAGCTCTGAATGCTTGAAATAGGAGTTCTTTACCTCACAGAGATTGCCCATGCCCCTGTTTACTGAGTAATCTAGGGTGGATGTACTCGTTATGCCTCCTCCATTGTATAACAAGGAGTGGAAAGAACAATGAATTTCAGTCGTCTCTTAAAAACACCCAGGCAAAGTACAGAAGAAAGCAGTGCTAGAACTAGGCTATCTAATTAGACGTGTAAAATTTTAAAGATGAAAGATGTATAAAATTCAATCTTAGTTATATAACCCCATATGCATGTCAACTCCAAAAACTTCCTTAAATTGCAATTCCTTAAATTACTGTTTCTTCTGCAGATGAGAAAGCAGGCAGCATCTGATTTACGAGCACTGAGAGCGGAACTGACACATAAGAAGATTCACTCAGCTTTAATTCTCCAGTCCAGAAAATCGGGGATCTAAGAGGATGACACGACTTCAACATCCGTAAAGTCTACAGAAGCTCTGTAATGTATATAGAAGTCCAGAATTTCAGAGCATTTGTATGTTCTTTAAGTTACCTTGTAAAAAGACATCAACTATATAAATGTTGTGGAATTTGTATACTGGGCTACTGAGGTACTGCAGCTCACTTCTTTTTAAATCTCACTCTTACTCTAAGATTAGTCAGCTACTTAAACATACAGTTTAATCTAGTAATGTGTCTAAAACAAAGCTAAGTTATTTTAAAAGTGCAAATTAGTGAATTATATAACAACACAGTGGTATGCTGATGTTCTTTCATTAACAAAATACCTACTAAGCAAATAAACCTATACTCTATAACCTCCTGTTCTTATTTTCAAGCACACACATTAAATTTTTGGAAAATGATTAAAATACATCTTCTGTAGAACTACAGCAACAGTAATCTTTTATTTAGCTATTTACTGAAGTATATTTTTGTCACTGTAAGTGTGCCTATCTATAAATTCCCAGTGTATTATTACCATTTCATTATGAACAAAATCTCAGATAATCTCACCTTATTTCAAACATAGCCATTTTTGTTCCCTCTCATTAGGAGAGCCACATGGATATTAACCTTCTTCTGTAGTTAGTGGAAGACGCAAGCTTTGTCTTGGACAAGCTGTAATGGTGATCCTGGTCCAACTTACAGTATTGCATACTCTGTTTTTCGTTAAGTTTAAGCTCATGCATGTGCTTAGAGTACTCTTTCAGAGAATTGTTATCAGAAACCTCTTCTTGATAGTAATTTTTTCTAGCTCTCCTGTTTGCCTCTTCGCAGTACCAGATGTTATTACGTTAAGCAGAACAATAACACGCTAGAAATTAATGTCAGCTAAAAAGCCGACAAGGCTGTATCTATTATTGGAAGTGAAACACTCATGGGAAATCAGTAATACAATAAGAAAATTATGCAACTCTTAAAAGGACTAACTTCCAAATGTCTTGAGTCAAACCACCTGCTATCCAATTTGTTTTCTTAAAGATAAGATTTAACAAAGATTTTAGCGCTGAAGTATTAAATTAATTATTAAAACTACAACCACTTCTGCTCAAATCAGGATTGAATCCTATATCCTGTATTTCAGAATTGTGTCTTATATAAGACACAAGAGCAGGCAACCAGCTACTGGAAAACCCTGAACCTAAATTAAAAAAACAAAACCAAAGCCAACTCATGATTCTTGACTGCTACAGGAAAAAGTTTTATTATAAAGTCATCTGGCCTTCAGTTAGGATTTTGTAGGTTAGATCATCTGCTCCAGAAGACCTCTCAATTTCATAAATATCTATCTCACAGTATTTTAGCACATAAATAGTAATACAAATTCTGAATTATCTATATGTCAAATAAATATATCGGTTTCTCCTAAAACCTGCAGACCAGCATTCTAGTGAAGAGCCCTCTGATTTTCCAAGGGAATTTTTTTCTTTATGTGAGAGCAGTAGGCTGCACCTTCTGCTTTCCATCACCTGCAGTATCAAGCAGTCAGTCTTCTAGTCTTCTCCTCAGTAGCCATTATGGTAGTGCTGCTATTCTATGGTGTTTTCCCAGTAACTATTTAGCAAGGGAAAAAAACCAACTAACCAAGAAAAAAACCCACCCCACAACTGACTACATATATCTAATTAAATAAATTGTTTAATTAACGGAGCCAATTAAGCAGGGCACAGTTGCACTTTAATCTGTTGTGAAACAGTTCTGAGAAGCAGAGAAGCAGTGTGGGCTGTAAGCTGTGGAACAAGTAAAGCATAAACCGGCAACACTGTTTACCAACCTTAGTGAAGGCAGCATTTTATTTAACAAAAAAAAAATCCTGTAAAGACCAGTCAATCTTTCCATTACTACAGATATTTTTAAAAGTTACACAATTCCTCTAGGCAAATTATTTTATGAAAAATATAACTAGAAAGAAAATATAACCTCATGTTATCTCAGAGGCAACACCACGTGAAAACAAACAACAGGCTACTGAATGAATCTTAAAGTGTGTGGAAAAATACATATGCAAATACAGTTCATTAAATAAGCTTCTCAGTTCTAGTTTTCAGGAAGTAAAGAAGTTTGAAATGGAAGAAAATATCATCCAAGTTCTCTCCATATTCATGTTCCCTCTTCAAGATAAGGTCCAAAATTTTTGGCTTTTGAAAGTAAGGAATTTACATGATACATAAACACAGTGAAACTGGAGCTTATTGAATATTCCTTTCTAACTACAAGTTTGATAAAAATCTTAATGGCAACTACTTCATGTTACGTAATTTCTTCAGTCTGTAAAATATTTTAATCTGAAAAGTAACCAAGCACAAGCACAAGTTTCACCAAGTTCCATGTAAGCAACAATCTGTCTCTCCAGTATTCTGTGTTTAATCTGATTGAAGAGTGACTTAGCTAAAATGTAGGTTGGGGTGGAAAGTCAGAAAGCTGAGACTGCACCGTGTGACCTCAGAATGAATACTTGCTGCACCAGGCAGCTTTAGCAAAGGATCATTATGAGATTGCCCCTGTAAATCCACCACTTGGTCTTACTTGTTACCAGATACACGCTGGGTTCAAGTTTTACCCAATTTATGGTAGTTGTGAAAAATGAAAAAGATGAGCAGCCTTTAAAAAAAACCCGCTGCTAAAGGAACATTGGAACTTTCTGAAGAATGAAAATATGGCTTCGCATACAAAATAACAAGATGAATTTGGCGAGTTCTCAAAGTTTTTGTAATCGTGGTATATTTATATAAACTCAAAATCTATGATAGTATAAGCCATAATAAAAAATTACCAATGTTCATCATTCTAAATCAAGGCTGCACATAGTTCTTACGGTGTCAGGGCTTGCCACATTGCTTCAGTTTGTTGTTCTGCTACAGCTTCCCTGGAATAGTCAAGACTATTTCCATTCCACATGCCAACGCCCCTTAAACCTCGATTCTTCACATATGCTGCTTTTAGAGAGATGCTGCGAGGGTCATCATACCATACTTGGTGGAAGCGACCAAAAGAATCCTAGAAAAACATTTAAACACTAGCGTCAGTATCAACCTATCTATATAAACATGATACATTCAAGTTCATTGAGTTTTGATTACATTTTCTGTTGAATGCAGTGAAAAGTATAGTTAAAAACTCAGATATACAAGCTATGTAGAGATTTACATAATGATACTTCCCTGATTTACAAATTATTTTTCACACAGGACAATTAAACATTTTAAGTGAAATACTTGGCTATTTTTTTACTTGTAGAATCTCAGTTATAAAACAGTGATACATTTTAACTGAAGTTAGATGAAAAGACTTAGCTAATTTGTATTTCAGTAATTTTTTAAAATACAGCCAAAATCTCAGATATACTATCTAACCTAAGAGGTGAATTTAGTTAGAGATTAAGTGCTTTTTTTCAGCAATAAACACTTTTAGAGGAGGTTATAAAATTTTGTCAAAGTTATGTTGCTTTGACCTGGTCACTGCTTGTAACACCTTTTAATCATCTACATGTGAAACTTAAAATTGTGTGTAAAGAAACAAGATGAAATGCATACACTGTGTTGTTCATGTAAGCACAATCATTCATGCACTTTTTCACTATGTCTATGTAGAAACCAAGTGCGGAAGAGAACATGCATGCAAGCCACTGGGTTAGAAAAATTTAAGAGCATCTCAGAATCTGTTTTAGTTTAAATCAGTCATCAACTCATAAAAGTAACTATAACAGTGAAGGATGGAGCTATAGGATTTCTTTGTGCCAAAACGTCCTTTTTGACATGATACAACTTCTTGAGAAAACTGCAAAGTAATAAAGATCTTTATTACTCCTGTAGTCTTCAATCACTGCACCTCTCCTTCAGACTAGAAATTCAAGATATGGAAATCCAGCCATCCTTTACTACATGAACAAAAGAAGTAGAAAACACAAATAGAAGAATCTAACCCTGAAAACTTTACAATCAAAGAACTATAGTTTATGAACGTTTACTCCACAACATGGTGTCTTACAGAGACACTTACCTTGTATTCATAAAATGGAGACTTCTGTACCTCATCCCACAGCACCCCTGAAAGAGAACTGTTCACCTGCTTCATTATTGCTCCGTAGGGGACCTGACGCCCTGCAGCATCACTGCAAGGAGCCCCACGGAAAGGCACTTTGGAAAGGGAACAAACATGATCCTGAAAAAAAAGCAGACGGCGTTGAGTTTCACGTTACATAGATTTATTGAACTCCAGAATAGCAGTACAGCCAAGAACAAAGACACAAAAGGCACTGCGGTCTCAAAAATCCCAAATCTTCCAAGTAGCTGTGCCAGACATACTATTTGTAGACAGAAGTAAATTAAAACAGTTAAATTTTGTTTACTCTGTAGTAGTACAGGATTGGATGGACATCATTCAACTTACACAGTTGTCTTATCTTTTCCACTTTTAAGTCACTCTTACATTTTTCATAAGTATAATGTTGTTTGAGACTCCATGACTTATCCATAAACTGCTATCCTTTAACAGTCATAGGTTTGCTGTGGTTTGTTGCACCTAGTCTTTAAGCAGTGAGCTTAGTGACTGTGTTGAGAAGGCAGATAGAAGCGTTGTAGTGCCTTTGGACATCATCTCTTCTCGTACAGAGAACATCTATAGCTCCTTAGTCAAACACAAAGTCAGGCACTTGGGAGTCAAAACATGGCACTCGGGTATCATGGGGTTCAGGTTGCCTAGGGAGAAATAAAATGCCTTGTTTGGTAACACACTGCTCATCAGTTATCAGCTAAGCAAAAGTCTCTGTCTTGAGTCCCAGCTTTATGCTCTTATCTGTCAGACCACAGCATTTCCTAATCCAAAACCAGGATCACCAAAATCTAGCTGTCTCTTTCCAAGGAAAAAATTAACAGTACGATTGCAATTGAATAATCTTCATCTTACCTTAGATAGGTTTTGGCAGACATAGTCATAGCCATACCATGGGACG